CGCGCTTCTAGCATGCCCTGCCCCACCAAGGACCTAAGTCCAACTCTTCCATAAATTAAACTAATTTATACAATTTCCCCATAAATAAATTATGCAAGTTACATCCATATTTGCATAATTGCCACATAATTATGTCAAGCACCAAAACCGGAAGTTCAGCTGCAGTACCATAAGAAGTCACTAGGGGTCCAAAATCTAATAATTTCGAAGTCCCATCAAGACCTACCCACCTACCATTTAAACCTTCTCAAGTTATCGTTTTAACAGACACACAGACAGGCAGACAGACAGACAGACTTTGAGACACACACACGAACGCCTCTGAAAACCTAACCTTCTTGGCGAAGGTAACAACCCTTTATAGTTCTCTGATCTGCTTGGAGATACCAGTAAGTCACGGATCGTGATCCGCAGTGACTCATATTATTCTCCGTACCACCCGGGGATGCCTCCGTTTGTCATTCATGTCCTCAACAATGGCAATGTGTCAGACAACGTGCACTCTACTGACACAGGCATGGTCCCATTCACAAGTAATAGGCCATGTTGATTTGATTATATGGATGACATCCGTGCGCGCATGAATTTTCGGCCGTTTCCAAAAAATAAAAGTTTTCAACCATACTGTAAATCGTACAAAACAGTTTCAAAATGAGCAAAAATATACCTTAAGTTCGTTGAAGAGATTCAACTATACCTTAAGTTGTAAAAAAATGATACCACTGTCGTAAAATGCCAAAATCAAACCAAAAAAAAGACGAAAATGTAAAGAAATAAATTCGAAGAGTAGATTATTCGCCAAACCATATTCTGTGTCATTTGTTCATCAACCCTCACGACCACATAAGGAAAGCAACTTTTTACTTTTTTTGCAAATTTTTTTTTCCCACGCGCGCATCAGTTTTGGGGTTCCCAGAGGATGTCACCCATATTATCAAATCAACATGGCATTAGCCTTCGGGCATGAATTTGCAATTAAGTTATTTACATGCATCCTGTGTCATGTTTAACAATTTGGAGAAGTACAATATATAAGACGGTTTAGTGCGCGATATTACACATTAATAAAGACAAAAGAATTCTATAAACGATAATGAGAGGCTGTATTTTAAATACATCTACCTTGTAGTGAAGAAAATAACAAACTTAAGGTCCTTGCTGCTGTTATGGTAAATGTTTTTTTTAACAATTTCTTACACAAACATGTCTATTTTGTCAGCCTTTTCCTGTGTACATGCTGCGGCTTTCCTCAGTGTAGCCTCCATAGCATGCCAAAAACTGGGGGTTTTGGGGGGGGGGGTCTTCAGGGTCTTTGGGAGCTTTTATGTGTTATTTTCTGATTGCATATAGACGACATAGCTGGCCTGGTTGAATTACCCCCGTTTTTTAGAACTGGGCTAATCAGAAATTAAAACAGCTGAAGACCACCAAACCCCCAGTTCTATATAAGCCTGCTACGGAGGCTAACATGCGTACATAAGCGGCTTCACTATAGAACGGTCCCAATAGAAAGGTGTAGAAGGACAATAGACAGGTATGCCGTCACCCCAGGCGAGGTTGCGCTTCGAAGCTTCGTGCCGACCGGAGATAACAACGTAACATTTTGGTTTCTGGTCCGTTTTCTTGCTTACACGTAATATTACTTGTCCACTCCACCAGACTAAAAACGCTGGTTCAAAAACAGTATAATTCAGTAGTCAAATAGGGAGAATTGAATTCTCCATGGGAGTTTAGCCACAATAGAATTCATTTGCCCACGCAGACCCCATTTTTCTAGCCTCCGTAGCAGGCTTATAGAACTGGGGGTTTGGTGTACTCTCCAAGCAGAGGTTGTTGGGAATGATCGTTACCTTTTTATATACGGCCGTTTTTTTTGTTTTTTTTTTGTCCTGATCCCCACCAATGGAGCTTCTCTGGCTAATGGATACTGTCTGGCCAATTTAATACTGTCTTTTTGTCACCGAGAGGGATCTGCTTGGAGATTAGGTTTGGTGGTCTTCGGCTGTTTACTGATTAGCCCAGTTCTAACAAAAAACCAGCCCGGTGATGTTGTCTATATGCAATCAGCTCAGAAAATAGCATATAAAAGACCATAAAAGCGCCCAAAGA